CTAATGGTTTATTTATTTGTTAGGATTCCACTCTCATGATATATTTCATTTTATTTGAAAATTAAAAGAGAGAAAATTAAAAGACACAAACATAAGAAAGCCCTGGTGGATCAGGCCAAGCCCATTTTAATCCAGCATTTTGTTTCTTGCACAGCCAACCAGATACTTCCAGGGAGTCTTTAAGCAGAAAATCCCTCTCTCACCCTTATTTCCTTGCAACTGATCCTGTTCCCTAGACAACTGGAAATATGCTGTACTGAACCTGGAAGAAATACACATTCTACAAGTGTTATGAATCAAGAGTAGATCTGTCCTCTATCACTTTATCCCATCTCATTTTACAGCTACTCAAAAGGGTGGTCATCATCACCAAGAAGCCATCCTCTCAATGTAATGTAGATTCATGCCATGAAAAACTGGCTGGAAGAAGAGGAATGCCTCTTCCTGCCACTATTACTGTCAGAATCAGAATCAGAATAGAGCTGGAAGGGGCCTTGGAGGTCTTCTAGTCCAGCCCCCTGCTCAAGCAGGAGATCCTATACCATTTTAGACAAGTGACTGTCCAGTCTCTTCTTAAAAATCTCCAGGGGTGAAGCACCCACAATGTCTGAAGGCAGGCTGTTCCACTGGTTTATCAGTGTGGGAGTAACTTCTGCCTGGTTATGAAAGGCTAATAAATACCCACTTAGGAATAAAACTGGGAGCATGAAATACGCCTTTCCACTAAATCTTATTCACATTCATATGTGAGCCAGGGTAAAGATTCCTCAGCCATTTTTACAGGAACTGTGATCATAAGGCCTTAGAGGACAAAAAGCAAAAAAACCTTCTAGTGGAAACTTACATACCTCCAATTCTTTCTTCTAGTTGTTTTTGCCACAGTCATGTTTTCCAGAGTATTTCTTGAAATGCACAGCCTACTAATTGAGCTAAGGCAAATTGCTTACCATTGCAGTAAAGCTAACACATTGAGAAAGCAATTTTCTGGAAGGAGTAAAAATGCATCTTACTTAAGAGAGTCAAACCAATTCTGTAGACCTTGTACCAACAATCCGTTTAGCCTAGTATTAACTTCCTTGACAGCAGAAACTCTCCAGTCTCTTAGGTAGAGAATCTGCCAAGGCATTAGCCTAGCTTGAACCCAAGTTCATGTACATGCAAAGAATTTGATTAATGGGCTTTCTCAACCCAATTCTCACAAGATTATTATGAAAATAATAAGAATTCTTGGTACGCTCACAGGATCCGAAATATGGAGTCAGAAAAGACTAACAGAAAAAGCAATAAAACTGTCTTCAAGAGGTGGCTATCCAGCTTTTTCTTTAAAAAACTTCACGAGATGGAGAAGCCACCATCTCTGTAGGTAGACTGTTCCGCTGTTTGCACAGATCATCACAATATTTACACAAAATATTGTACTTGCAACTTATACCCATTATTTCTATGCCAATCAAAATAATTCCTGACCATCTTCTCATGTCACCCTTTGGCGAACAAGTATGTATTTCCAGAGAGAGCCATTAAAACTTTGTATAGAACCTGCCCAAACAAGGGAGGATGAGCAACAGTTTTTAAAAAGTAAGGTAAACAATACATAGCTTAGACTTAGAGGATGCCAAGCCTTCAATAGATGTTTGCCAAGAAATATGCAAGCATTATGTCTAAACAGAGAAGAAAGGGAGGGGGGAATACTGAGAGTGACTTTATTTTCAGAGCAGTAAAACATAAGAGATTCAAGCTGCATTATGTGCTTAATAAACTTCTTTGCTGCAGATCTCAAATTTATCAAGAGGTAAGGACATCATAGGATCCAAAATTGTTGCTGCACTACCAAAGGACAGTTCATGCTTTCTGCATGCCCCCCAAACTGTGATGATACTTGCCTCTTTTACCTAAGCCTCTGATTTAGACATGTTCAAACCTGTGTGTGATGTCATCAAGAAACATTAATAGCCAAAACATTAAGATAACTGTAAGAGAGCGCTGTCAGCAGTACAATAGCCTTTTATACAAAACAAATCAGTTCCAGGCAGATGCCCACATCAAACTCTCTTACGTGACCTATAATATTACACCTCTCACATACACAGTTGAAGAGAAAGATCTGCAGCAATGTTTAGTAAAGAACAAAGTTCAGACTGATTCTAAAGGTAATTTTCACAGCCCTTTATCCTTCACTGTCTACCATCATAGCAACTAAACCATCCCATGCGATGCATGCATCTTGAATTTCCAACATGCCAAGCAAATTCTATTCTCTGCATCTTAAATCTGTTGTTGGTGGTTTCCATACCAGAACATAATGAAAAGCTAGCATGCTACAAAACAATAAGCTAGCTCAACAATTCTTGTTATTTACTTTTAGTTAGCTGCAGCCCTGTGCTTTGTTTGGAATTGTGTCAACCTGCCCAGGAAAAGGATTATTAAAGCTGAGGCAGTCAAGAGATTCTTGGGAGACAAGAGGGAGCGACAGAGAGCAAGGGTGTTAGCAGCCTAACATTTTGTGAAAATGTCCATCCTATCACATACTCCCTAAATTCCAGATGGGCTTAGGGGTTCATAGAGTTTGGAAATAACAGTGATTCCAATTCCATTAGCATAAAAATATGTAGCTCAAGACAGAACAGTCGGAATCTTGATGTTTTCTGGCAGAGATTTCATTATCAGGATGAGTAATGCAACTCCACTCTCCCATGCACTGATGATATTACCTAACCTGGTAATGAAATGTCTGCCAGAAAACATCCAAGCTCGGAGAACATCCAGAACCCAAGAATTAGTAAGCATGATTCAAATGCCCATAAATGCATATATTATTTTGAGTATCTTCTGTCTGGTCTTGGAACAAATGGTTTGACTAGAGTAAAAGTATCTTATCTTTGACGTTTTTTCTACAATATAAAAGAATGTCATATAATATGTACCGGTTATTTTATTTTATTTTATTTTTAATTCCATGCCAGATGAAAATGATTTGACTACAGATTGTTTCCACAATGTGTAGCAATTCAGGGCTGGGAGAGTCTCCAGCTTCATTCCATGCCCTTGGCCACTCAGCCAGATTTTTGCTTTGTTTTGGAGGAGTATTGATAAGGAGACGTCTTCCTTGAAAAATGTCCTTTGTGTTGTGGTAAGTGGGACATGAGGCTGAGCTCACACAAAGACATGCCCAAAGATGCTTTTTCACGAGGCAACTGGACTTTCTTGTTTTTTCTTTGAAGACGTTTTGCTTCCCATCCAAGAAGCTTCTTCACCTCTGACTGGATGGTGGGGAATGGAAGGATTTATATTCCTTGCAGACAGCTGGTCATTTGCGTTCTTTTAGAGAGTCGTTAAAGCTACCCGGAGGCTTATCTGTCTTCAAAGAAAAACAAGAAAGTCTAATTGCCTCGTGAAAAAGCATCTTTGGGATAACTATGACTTGGATGACTGAGAATCTCCATAGACACAAAGACATGCCTGTTCTAAGGAGACCCTTAAGCATGTCCACTGTCTTTATAAGTATCAATATCACAAGTATTTTTCCCTTTAGAAAAATAGTCTATCTAAAAACAACCTTTTTTCCAGAAATTTCATTTTATTGAATGCAAATTTCTTACAATTCAGTTCATTAAAATATAAAGCTGTCTTTCTGTACATGGTTCCTGGGAATTTGCTTCATTATTAGTTATTAGTTTTGTGAAGAGTTGCACATTTGTTTTAAATAAGAGATTTAAAGAACAATGTCCAGGTTGCAATACTAATCAGCTAACCAGAACTTTTCTTGAATTCAGTGATGGTTCCCAGTAAAGATACAAGTCTCTCTCAAAAGTGTTACATATGGGATCCCAGAAGAAAGATTGCATTTGTCTTTTACAACAAAAAGATGGTTTAATCAATTCCAAGAAAGGGCTTAGCTGGCACATACTGTTTCCTTATTTATGTCTTATTGAGTATCTTTTTCTTCAATTAATTTTGACTGCATGAAAACGTGTAACTGGTTCTTCACTCTCCTTCATTATATGTTTTCTACATCAAAACCATGATTATTTATGTAAACTAGAGATAGTTCTCAACTTATGACTACTATTGAGCCTAATGTCAAGTTCTATAATAAAGTGAAGGAAGAATGCAAGAAAACAGAACTGAAGAAATACACATTGTGTCAACTCATATTATGCGAACACAATTCAATCTGCACATTTGACATGGTTTTAGAACCATTTGATTGACAGAGTCCTTGGATAGATTAGATGCTGAAATCAAAACCTACTACATTTAGGGAGAACAACTTTCAATGAGCAGTTCTCCAACTTTATTGCATACAATTGTTCAAAGGTTGTTTCAGTTATGTTGTGTGATATTGCAATATACAATGAAAACAAAATCATCTTGGCCTCCTAGCATGGAAGGCAGCCTAAGAATCCAGAGAGGTGTCACATAAGTTAACACACAGGACAACCTGTTCCAGAAGTATTTTTTATTATGCACATGGATCAGAATTCAGTGGAAATACTTTGCATAATTCTTCCAGTCAAACATAACATTTTGCTTCCAAATATGCAGCAAATGTTGTGCCTCGTGGTCACCATGTCTCATTTCCCTTCTCACAGACTATACCATTTCCCCAAAAAAATAGATTTCAAATTGCTACAGAATAAGCATCTTTAAAATAACAGTCACCAACATTTGATGATATTCAAGCAGACCTCCTGAATGTTCTCCCAACTCAGATATGAACAACTAAAAAAGATGGGATTTGATTGGGATTTGATTGCTCATGTAGCTGTCCATGTCTGAGCAGCTCCCAATCAAATCCCATCTTCCATAAAATGCTATGCCTTCATTCAATTAAATACATCAAATTTTCTCTTTCAGTGCAACAATAAATACAAAGAAGCCGTCCCATTTATGAACTCCAGCAGGTATTTTAATCACCACTAAGAATCCTCTCCAACAAAAAGCAACTCTTGATTGAACCTAACAACAAAACAACAAATCAAAATTTCTTTTTTGCTGACCTGTAAATGATGCCACTCTCATGAAGGAACATGAGAGCTGAAATGATTTCTGCAGCATAGAATCTGGCTCGGACTTCATCAAAGCGACGGGATTTCTGGATGTGGAACATCAAATCCCCTCCATTCACAAACTCCATAACAAAGAAGAGGCGATCCTGATCAAAGGCAATACCAGATACCATCATCAGTGGAAAGATGTTAATTGTATTTCTTTTTCTCTCCCCAAATCTATTTTTTAAAAAAACCCTTTGAATTGAAAGAGCAGCAAAAAGAGCAAAATATTTAGGATTTTACCTTCATAGACCAAACTACATAGTATTTGACCAACCTAATTCAATCCTGGAATTGGACATTGGAAATCTGGGTTTGCTCTCCCTGCAACCCCAGTTCAGACTGCCCGCCATGCACTCAGAACTTGTATTGATAAAGAGAGGTCAGGTGTCCTGTTTTATTGAAAATAATTCTTTGTTTGAAATGCCATTGGAGGTCTGACCTCTATTTGAAAGAGGGTTTTATTTGAATGGCTATCAAATGAAAGTCTGGTTTAAAGAAGGTAGAACAAATGGTGGTTCTCAATCTGCTAGTCAACTGGTAGCATTTGGTCAGAAGACTAAGCAAGCATACCAGTGGTGAGGTAGTCCCCCCTGTAAAGTGAATTGGTTTATATTTCTATCTTAATTATAACAATGGTGTCTACATAAAAAATAAATGCACTTCCACTTTCATACTGGTTTTTGGTAAATGCAAGAAGGGAAGAGATATCTCTTAACTGTTAAAGTTGAGAGTCAGTGAGTTTGTCTGGCCATAAGAGTTACACAATCAATGTGTAGATATGACTAAGTAGTGGCAAAGAAGCCAGGCAATTTGTTCTCCAGGGGAATGAAGTACTTATACTGAGATCAAGCACAGATTATATGGATGACAAAGGTTATTCAGCCTTACAAAATGTCATTTGATCCTTTACTGCCTGGAACAGACCATGTGACATGGTCCAACTATAAAAATATTTGTCAGCTATGCCTGTTCCAATGAGAAAACTTCTAATTCTTGTAGCAATTTGCCTTTTCCCAAAAACATATCTTTGTTGACTTGGCAGGACCTAAAACTGACATTTGACCATTGTCTAAGTCTAATTCCCTTAATTATAGGAAGCAGACTGGATTATTTGTGTTCAGTTGCAGCTCTACCTGGTTAGGTCTTCAGTATAAATTAAAAGAGAAGATGCATTTAGTTTAGAGGAAATCGACTACTAGGTAAGCAGAGATACATACACTTCGTCAGCAAAAGACTCACAGAAACCACTTTACAAAATTTCAGTGGGTACAATCCATTGGTGAGGGAAGCCAAAATGCAAAGTAATCTCATTTGGGTGGCAAGACTCAGGTACCCATTTCTTCCCTTAAAATTTGCTCAAATTTATCTTTCTCTGAAGGCCCCTTGGCAGAGAGGAGGAATTCTATGGTCTACAAAAAGAAGGCAAGTGAATTATATTTTCTGCACTCCTGAGATAGACAGAAGTACCTGATTTTAAGTGCCACTGAATTACTCAATATATTTAGATATATCTAGAAGTAAAAGAAAATGTGCTTGTGAGATTTTCTCCCTTAAAATGATTTTGCCTTGGACATTCTGCATCTTGACTTCAGGAAAAGGAAAGCATCTCTTAAGCTTGGCATGGATTTGTGGAAAAATGTCCAGATATTTCCTCCAAACTGAGTTATTTTACTTAATTAATATTTCCAAAGAAAATCAAAAGCTTGGTTTGTGTGTGATCTTGGGAACTAGACCAGGAATTGTCTGCCAAGATCTTTCTGGATCTTGAGCTTATCTTCTAAAGTGTTGACTATTGCCCCAACTTGGTGTTGTCTGCACATTTTATGAGTTCCCCTTCTATCCTCTCAATTAAATCTAAAGCTTTTGAAGATGTTGAAAAGCATTGGGCCCAAGACAGAATCGTGGGGTATCTCCCCCCCGCTCCACGTAGATGTAGTTCCATTGAAGACTACATGTTGAATGAGGTTTGTTAGCTGATTTTGAATCAATCTGTCTATCCCACATTTTTTTATCTTAACAAGAAATAGGTTGTGGTTTAACTTGTGGTCAAATGTCTTACTGAAGTCCAAGTATACTGTACAATATTCACAGCATTTTGCTGATCCACTAATTTAGCCACTTGATCAAGGAATGCAATAAGATTTGTTTGGCATGATCTGCTTTTGAAAAACTCGTGTTGATTTTTAGTAATAGTTTTGCTTGCTTCTAGATGTTTGCAGATCAGTTGCTTGATTATATTTTCCAGCATCTTCCCAAGTATTGATGTCAGACTGATTTGATCTGTAGTTTCCTGGATCCATTTTTTTTTTTTAAGATGGGAACCACATCAGCTCTTTCCCAGTCCTCTGGTAGTTCCCTGGTGCTCCAGGATCTTTGAAAGATACGGTTCAGTGGCTGCGAGAACATGTCTGCCAATTCTTTCAGAATTCCGGAATATAATCCATCTGATCCTGGTGATTTGAACTCATCTAGGGTTAACAGGTGTTGTCTTACCATTTTCTGGCCTATTTTGACTTCTGTTCCTACTTTGTCTTCTACAGCTCTGCTTTTGGTAGGTTGGGTTATTTTTCCCTTTCGCATGAAGACAGATGTAAAGAATGAGTTAAGCATCTCCACTTTCTCCCTGCTGCCCATCATTTTCTTGCCATTTTCTCCTATTAGTGGACCAATCATTTCCTTGATTTTTTTTTAATATGTTGAAAAAAACATTTTTAATTAATGTATAAAGTGGTAACTACGTTAACCGGAACATGAGTTCTAGGAGTAACTCTTCTCTTTTTTGAAGAACCTGAATTGGTTGCCAATTGTTCTCCAGACACAATTCAGTTTGTTGATGCTAGTCTTTAAGACTTTAAATGGCTGAAGAGTTGATAATATATATTTGGATACAAATATCTAAGGAAATCCAAGTAATTCTACACTGACCCGGTGAGCCACATCTATATCCAGTTCTGGGAACCACAATTCAGACAAGACAATGTCAAATTTGATTGAATTCAAAGGAGGACAAGCAAGGTGAGGAATCTGGAAACCAAGTTCTATGAGGATCTGATAAAGGATCTGGATATATTTAGGCTATAGAAATAATACTAAGGAGAAATCGCTTTAAATATATTCACACAGTATTCACTGTTGTTCCACAGAGTAGGACAAGAAACAATGAGTTAAAACTGTAAAGACATTATGAGGAACTTCTTGACAAAATTAGTTATTAACCAGTGGAACAAGCAAGAACATGAAATGGTGACTTCTCCTTTACTAGAGAGCCTACGTAGTGATTTGTAAGAGAAGCTGTACTGGAACAGGAAAGAAGACTGGATGACCTCTGAGCATCCTTCTAACTCTATGATTCTATGACACTTTACAAAATTTGGTTAATGAGCTAAATTTATTTATCATTTGCTATCTGCATACCAATACAATCTTTTTTTAAAAAAAATTACAGAATAACAGAGTTGGAAGGGACCTTTGAGATCTTCTAGTCCAAGCCCCTGCTCAGGCAGGAAACCCTAAACCATTTCAGACAAATCCTTGTCCAATCTCTTCTTAAAAATTTCCAGTGTTGGAGCATCCACAACTTCTGGAGGGAAGTCATTCCACTGATTAATTGTTCTCACTGTCAGGAAATTTCTCCTTAGTTCTAGGTTGCCTCTATCCTTGATTAGTCTCCATCCATTATTTCTTGTCCATATTAATATAAATATCTACATATTGATGGACTTGAGTATGATGAAATAACATAACACCATAATAATGTTGAAACAGTTAAAACAGGTATTTTTTCTGATAATTGGCCCAAAAGCAAGATTCGACAAAGAGCTTATGCTGCCAATTTTCTAGAATTAATGATATCATGCAGATTTAAATATATATGTATGACAACTTAAAAACAAGTTTGGGGGAAATATTATCATTAGAACACATTGTGCCAATTTTCTAGGCTTGGGCAGTGGCAAGACAAGGACATCATGGTGCTAGGAATAACATGTTATGATGGAAAAGCAGGGCTGCAAAAGATTTCCTCCCTTTTCTGCAAGAAACTGTAAGCTTTGTGAAGTCATATTAAGGCATGGGGCTCAGTCAGTAGTCTCTCTCTCTTTGGCAGGAACATGAAAAGTAGTGAAACCGAATTAAAGAGCTACCATTGACTCTTTGCAACTACTGTAACCTCTTCCTCAATTAAAAAGGCCATGTGATGGCAAACTGTGCTTTTTCACATGCAGGTACTGCCACCTAGTGGTCATCCTCACTTAAGCCACAAAGATTTGAGTGGTAATTTAAAGACAAACCAAAAAAAATTTATATTGCACGTGTTTCGTGGATCAGATTCATGGAGTTTAGTCTCAAGGAAGGAATATCCTAAATACATTGCTTTATGGGAAGAGCAAAAGAAAAGGCAAGAACAGTAAAAGTTGAGGGGGGGCAGAAAAAATTCTCTATAAAGTAGCAACATTAACAACATAGCAGCTAGCTAGATGCAACACTGACAAGCTTATATAAACAGGTTAATAACATGTGGAATAAGAGGTCTTCTTTTGTGCTTAATCCAGGAGATATAGGCAATTCTCACTTGCCAATGCTAATTAGGATTAGGAATTCCATTACTAAGTGACACCGTCATAAAGTAGGGCATCATGTTGTTGCACTGACTTACAACGGCAGTTACAACAGTCCTACTTGCTGTCATTAGGCAAATCCTGCACAAAGTGTCATGCAGTCATATGATCACTATTGTGACCTTCTGCCAACTTCCCCTTGACTTTGCTTGCCAGACGTCAACTAGGAAGGTTGCAAATGGTGACCATGTGATGTTGGGACACAGCAACACCGTAATTGCCACAATTGGGCAAAGTGCCCAAACAGAGATCAGATGACCATGGGGACATTGCACTGACTGCCACTATGAGGACCTGCTGTAAGTCTCCTGGTACAGCATTGTCATAACTTTGAACGGTTGCTGAACAAGTAGCCTTTAAACAAGAATTGCCTCTGTGCAATTCAATGGCCTAACAAATTCCAGATTGGTTGTTTAATTATGAAATTAGTCTTTGTAATCCCTTAGTTCAAAGAAAGCTATCTTGAGGGCATTGACCTTTGTCCCTCAGGAAACCGAAATGATTCCCACTTGAATAGATACATATCCAACTATTCTTTTAAATTCTATAGAAAATGACAAAACCTAGCCAACATTAGCTGATATCAAAAAAGCTAAGCAGGTCAGACCTGGTTGGTGCTTGGATGGGGAACCATCAAGATATCCAAGACCTATAGACTAGACTGGGAAGTCAAAAACTATCCTGTATGCAACAGACAGTTATTGTATTGTTTCTAAGAAAACAGCATGGATATGCTGTCAATAGGACTTATCTCAACAAAGAAGTTAACATTGTATGCTGCTGAGTAAGGACTGATCAGTTTGTTCAGTGTCTGCATATTCCTTATAGATGATGGCATGTATCACACTGGAGGATCAGTAGGTCCTCTGAAAGTATGAATAATATTTTTTGTAATGATGATGTCAGAGTAGACATAAAGACATTACAATCATCATCATCATCATCATCTTTCTATTTTGTATAACTCAAGGTGGCATATATAATGCTCCCACTACATGAACAGTGGAAGGAAATACAGATGCAAGCGTAACATACTGAACATATTCACCCTTCTCCTAAGTAAAGCAACCTCAGATCAGATGGGTTGGACTACTGGCATTAATAACATTTTGATTTCAAGAAAGAAATGTTTATCAAAAAGGAAACAGTTAAAAAAAAAGTTGGAATGAAAGATCAAAGGCCTGGAGACTAAAACATATGAAGAACGGCTGCAGGACTTGTGTTTGGCTAGTCTAAAAAAAAGAAGAAACAGGGGTGACATGATAGCAGTTTTCCAGTATTTGAGGGGCTGTCACAAAGAAGAGGGGGTCAAATTATTCCCCAAAGTACCAGAGGGCAGGACTAGTAACAATGGTTGGAAACTGACCAAAAAGAGAAACAACCTGGAATTAAGGAGAAACTTCCTAACGGTGAGGACTGAGCAGGGGGCTGGACTAGAAGACCTCCAAGGTCTCTTCCAGCTCTATTCTATTCTATTTGTATTTTATTCAAAATCTGGGCACGTCTGGCAGAGATATTCCAGCTCAACATTTTTGTATCACATAAGAACTAGATGATCTCTAGGGTCACTTCAGTTTTGTAATTTCATTTTGATTCTAGAAAAACTGCAGGATCACTGCTTACACAAAGTCTTGTGTAAGTCTTTTTTCAAAAAGTCTTTTTATTTTGTGATCATGCTGATGTTTTCAGTGTGGAAAGGAGGGAATGCAAGACTCCGTATTCACGTCAATGAGAATTCAATGTCTTTGATTTGTGAGCTCGCTATTTTCTTCATTCTTCTTTTTACATACAACCATGAAGGTGGTTTAAAAAAAATTGCTGCAATGATTCATAACTGGTGAGCCTTCACACCTCCTGAAGTTGTAAGGAATACTTACAGCGGTCTGAAAACAGCAGAAAAGCTGAGTGAGGAAAGGATGGTTTCTTGCTAAAGTCAGGATCCGCTTTTCTGTTAGAGTACACTCCACATCATCATCTTGCAGAATTACATCTTTCTTCAGCACTTTGATGGCATAAAGATATCCTGTCTCTTTTGTTTTAGCCAGCATTACCTAAATTTGCCACAAAGCAGGATTTTTAATTCAAAGCAAAAGAAAACAAATAATTATGGAAGTATCCCAGAAACAGTGTATTTGTTCAGAAATTAAGTAGTACTCAACTTACGACTGGTTGCTTAGCAGCCAGCTTGAAGTTACGACAGTTCTAACAGTTGGGGATTCCCACAGTAATGGGACTGCATTTCAGGCACTCCACAACCGGGCCACATTGATTGCTGTTTGCAGAGTCCCACAATCACATGACCGTGCTTTACAATGGTTTTGCTGAAAACCAGCATTTAATTCAAACCACACCCATAGCAAACCACTGGTTCGTTTAATGACTGCAGTGATTCACTTCACAACTGCCACAAAAAGGTCATAAAATTAGGTCAGTCACATGGGGGACCCGATTTACAGCTGTCACGGATTATGAGCAGGCTCCATTGCAATCATAACCCAAGGACTACCTGCAAGTCACATGACATTAGATGGGGCTCTCTGAATAAAAAGACACATTGGCTGAGTCCACACAGGATGCTAAGCTAGAAACAAGGGATATGCAACTTTATTTGGTTTGAGGACCACAACAGCTTTTAAATAATGACATGTTAGAAGTTGCATACGAAGAGCAGTTGACGCGTAAGACTCCACAGAGAACTTAGTGAAAACAATGTGAACCACAAGAATGAAAGAAAAGAAAACTTCATTTTGATTTAAAGTTTACTGAAGTTTTAATAACAGAAAACATCTTCACAATTTAAAGGGACATGATACAGGGTCTCTTACTAATACTAATACTAATAATACTAATACTACTACTACTACTACTACTACTACTACTACTACTAATAATAATAATAATAATAATAATAATAATAATAATAATAATAATAATAAAGTTGGAAGGGACCTTGGAGGTCATCTAGTCCAACCCCCTGCTCAGGCAGGAACCCTACACCATTTCAGACAAATGAATGTTATGTCCTTAATGCTATTTCTTATAAAGGTGGAAGAGCTAAGCAGGTGTCATGGTTCAAAACAAAAATCCTGCCAAGATTAAAATTTTGTACTTGTGTTATAAGAAATAAGTTAGAAGCCACTACTTTTTAAGACAAAAATCAAACTACAGTTATAGATTATCATAAAATATGAATGCAGCCTGGTCCAATTAAACCTTCCTTTAATGCAGATTCATTTCAAATAACCAAAAGTAACACCAGTATGGAAACTTCAAATCTCAACAGAAACACTTACCTTTCCAAAACTGCCCTTTCCCAGCACTCTGATGAATATTAGATCTTCAATTTTAAGCCTACTGGCTGAGACTTCAACCATCCCACTGCCATCCTTTGTGCTGTCTTTTTTCTGACGTCTCAATGTTGATCTTGAGACTAATTTCTGTAAACATTAAATAGTCATGAGTTGCTTTTTGCAAGACAGCACCCCAAATTTTCTCAGTGCCTTTGAAGTTCAGAAACTCAATTTTGAAAAGAAACCTGTCCGGGGGGGGGGGGGTAAAACTTTGAACGTGGCATGAACAGGAAGAGGCAAGCATGCACCTGAAGTTTTGGACATCAAACCTCATAAATAAATTGGCTTGACCTAATGGGAATTGTAGTCCAAAATTTCTAGTTCACCCAGTTCTGCTTTAGAGAGTAGAACTATTCTTTAGGGGGGGGGAGCCCAGATATGAGTGGAAAATGTATTGTATGTTTGTTGATTTAAAGCAAGTGTGAAATAAACTGAATTGATTTGAATTACAGAATATATGATACAAGTATGGAGTTGAAGGTCGATTGCTAAATACAATAGGAGTGGTATATGATGGAAATAAACCATGCATGAGAATTAATTGAAAGCTCAGTGAATGCTTAGCTCAACAATGAATAATGAGTAAAGACAAGGGTGCTTGATATCCCCTTTAAGGTGTAATGAATTTATGAATAAATGTATAAGGAATGCTTATGGTGACATACTGCTCAAGGACGTAAACATATGTGGATTTGTATGTAGATGATGACTTGTTCTTGGCTGAAAAGCTGAATGATTCCCAGAATTACGCACAAATGTATCAAACTGAAAATTAAAGACTGAAAGACCAAGGTAGTAACATTTGGTAAATACATGAAATCAATAATTTCTAATTATACAACAAAAACTAAAGCAAGTAAATGATAGAATGTTTACTAAAGATGGAGAAAGGAACAAGACATTTTAAGATGTGAAAATGCTGATAGAAAGGCAGCAGGGGGATGTGCATCCCATTGCAAGAAATGAATGTTTGTTAAAAGAAGTGAAAAGTGTTGGATAGAGAAGAACAGTTTTCCCCCACTTTGTCATTCAGAGGTGAGAACTGGATATGCCAAGAGAAACACAGAAGTAAGTTGAATGCAGTGAAAATGGTACACTTAATAAATGTATGTAGTAAAACAAAAAGAGGGAGGGAGGGAGGGAGGGAGGGAGGGAGGGAGGAAGGAAGGAAGGAAGGAAGGAAGGAAGGAAGGAAGGAAGGAAGGAAGGAAGGAAGGAAGGAAGGAAGGAAGGAAGGAAGGATGGGCCAAATGAATGTGGACTGAATATGAAAGTAAATAATTAGTGTAAAACAAGTAGACTTAAATGGTTTGAACATATAAAGAAAACGAATAAAGATCAAATTACAAAACAAATATATGAAGGGAGAATGAATGGGTGGAGAGGAAAAGGAAATTCAAGAAAGTCATGATTAAGAGGGGAAGTTTAAAGAACAACAGGGAACGGAAGATGCAAGATTAGTTTCCAAAGATAGAAAGTCAAGGAGAGAGATAGAAAATAGTCTTGGATTAAACTATATCCGCTATGTTTCCTTTTCCTTTCCTTATTATTGTAATTTCGTAAGACTACTATTTCGTATTCCTTTCTGTTGCTTACCCTGAAAGGGAATAACATGCTGGGTATGCATGAACAGTCATGATTCTGATCTATCCTGCCNAAGAAGAAGAAGAAGAAGAAGAAGAAGAAGAAGAAGAAGAAGAAGAAGAAGAAGAAGAAGAAGAAGAAGAAGAAGAAGAAGAAGAAGAAGAAGAAGAAGAAGAAGAAGAAGAAGAAGAAGAAGAAGAAGAAGAAGAAGAAGAAGAAGAAGAAGAAGAAGAAGAAGAAGAAGAAGAAGAAGAAGAAGAAGAAGAAGGAAAACAAAGTCCTTACCCCATTTGGAGAGATATTTCCAGGTTGCAGTCCCATACATGCCAACGTCTTGGCTAGTTCTGCTGCATTCACCCCGCAGTTTGGGGCTACATTGGATTCACACCGAATATGTACATTTATTTTACACACTGAAAAGTGAAAACAAAAGAAAACAAACATGGACACTGGAACAAGAACAAAATGGTGTTTCTTTCCTAATGACAGCATGGGAACGCATGACAGAAATCCAATCCTTATTCCTTCCATCTGAATCACAAATCAAGGTTTATGCAGAGTGTTCAATCATATCACATGAATCCAAGCAGTTGTGTTTTATTTAATCGGTATTAAACAAAACATAGGATGCTCGCTACACACGAGTTTGATGAATACCATTTTACCTTCCTTGTTTAATAGTGAATCTGCAGCACAAGAGTTGAGTGCAATATCCCTCAGCTGCTATTCCTCTAGCTCAGAGGTCTCCAAACTTGGCAACTTTAAGACTTGTGGACATAAAGCATGTCTGGCTGAGAAATTCTGGAAGTTAAAATCCACAAATTTTAAAGTTGCTAAGTTTGAAGAGTCCTAGTTCCATGAAAAGAGGCCCCATCACTTCTCCTGAATTTGTTCCATATCTGAACTACATGTCTATGGAGATTCTCAATCATCATACTTATTTATAATACTTATTTTGTACATACTTACAAACCCTCAGTTCACACTTAATATGCAAATCAATATCTATCTTAATTGAACACAATATGGCAATAAAGAAAATCAAAGTCCCTTTCCTTGCCATCTCTATGTTTTATTCTTATAGAACAAAGGTATTTCAGCAGTCCCTAGAGGCCCAGGAATTTAGCAGTAAAATTAGTCAGCATATTGCTGAGAAAAGTCAGATGCGATTTCCTGTGCTGGGAAAGGGAATTAAAAAAAAAGGCAAACAGTGTACAAGTTTTCATTTATATACCAGTGGGGGGAAACCTAGCTCTACCCAGATATCTCAGCACTCTCAACTTCAGAATAAAAGAGTTGGAAGGGACTTTCTTCTAGTCCAACCCCCTGCTCAAGTAGGAACTCTACATACCATTTCAGATAATGGTTGTCCAATCTCTTCTTAAAAATCTCCAATATTGGACCATCCACAACTTCTGGAGGAAAGTTGTTCCACTGATTAATTGTTCTAACTTCTGGGAAATTCCTCCTGAGTTCTAGTTTGTTTCTGTCTTCAGTATTGTCCTGCCTTCGGTATTGTCACTTTCTGACTGCTCTGCCAAATAGCAGTGTTCCAATATCTTAGGGGCTGCCACAAAGAAGAGGGAGTCAAGCTATTTTCCAGAGCGCCTGAAGGCAGGACAAGAAGCAACGGGTGGAAACTAATCAAGGAGAGAAGCAACCTAGTACTAAGGAGAAACTTCCTACACTGGAAGTTTTTAAGAAGAGCTTGGATAACCATTTGTCTGAAATGGTATAGGGTTTCCTGCCTGAGTAGGGGGTTGAACTAAAAGACCTCCAAGGTCCCTTCCAAGTCTGTTATTCTGTTATAGTTATGTTTGGAAAATATGCCCCCCCCTGCCAATTCAGGACAGGAAAACTAAACAAATTCCCCAGAGATGGACTCTCATCTTTGTGCAGACTTTCCACTTACTTTTACACTGAAGCCCTTGTCGCAAGATTCCCCAGAGGAGAGAACCACAGTGATCACAAAAGGTTGGCACTTTGTAATTGTGGATTCTGAACTTGTGTGGGATATTGATTCCAAACCTCTGCTCAGAAATCTGAGGAAGAAAAAGCAGCGAAAGAAAAAAGTTGGTGATAAGTGATAAAATAATAACGGTTGACCAATCCTTATCCTGCAGCTCTTGAAGCAAAGCAGATGGAGAATGTTATTGCCCCCATTTGATAGGTAAAGGAAGAAAAGAGAGAGCCAGGGTGAGTTGGCCTAGGAGTTTTATTTAATGTTTCTATGGCATAAAGTTGGTCTCATGAGTTTTCTCCTCACGGCAAATAATTTGGGCAGAAGGAATGAATACCGGTTAGGAATACCAGTTAGGACGAGAAGTTAAAGTTCCAAAAAAGAGAATATTTGTAATTCAGTGTTGAACTGTGCAGTCCTTGGTGCTTTCCAAGCTTGTTTGTTTTCTTGCATTACATTTCATTATCAATGATGTTACCTTTTTGGGTAATGAAATGTCTGCAAGAAAACAGAGAAAGCACCAAGGACCCCAAAGTTAAAGTCCTTCCCCCACCATCAGTCACAATTTGTGTTTTTGATTCAGCTGGTCCCAAACATGCCAGTTATGGTTACTTGTTAAAGAAAAAAACCAGAACATTCTCTTTCACTGCACTTGGTTACCTTGTTTTAATTGTTGCTGTGACTGTACACCACCCATTACATTATGTGCAATGAATGGCCATATAAATTTGTTAAATAAATACATTTGATAATATCTTTATTAGAACTGATTGGCTGATACCTTTACCAAGTCTTTGAATTACCACATAAACTTTTCCCAAACCCAACAGAGTTAAGTAGCATGTCAATAGAGGATCGTAACTACTTCAAAATTAATCAGATAAAGTTTATTATCTAAGGAATAATAGATTATGTCATAATGCTGCAGTTGACAATATATTTAATTAGTCAGATGCTGCTGAGTTTGGTTTTGACTCCTATATATGTTATTGTCTTGATCTGTCTTTAGTAATAGTGAGTCATAGCTATTCCAAAGCCATTCCCATAATTAACAACATGCAAAAATCCAAATGTGTAACTGTGACTTTACCTTTATATCCATCTTCTTTTTATTATTCTGGCATGTGCAAGCTGTAACTATGAGATGGTGACAACGCTTGTGCACAACACATGTGCAAACTGGAAAAAAAGAAAAAGAAAACGAAGAAAGCTATCAGAAACTAGTACAGAAAAATATGATTTGCTCTTAAATGGACCAGAATTTTTATTGCCTCTGTGTTAGGTCAACATTTTTCCTAGGTAGACTCCAACCTGGCTGGAAAACTCCCTTCAAAAGCACTCATCAAGAGCTCCTCTTCAACCTTGGTTCAAACAAGGACTGGGAGTTTTCAACATTTTAATTAACCGGAAAAGGAAGGCTTATCAAATTTGCAGATGTTGCAAAATTAGAAGGAATAGTTCATCTTGAGAAAGTCAGATTTATGTAATTAAGGCAAGAGGCTAGAAACCTGGAATTTGAAAATTCTAGCCTTGCCTTAGACATGGAATCCAGTTGGATTACTTTAGGCCACCTTGCACTTTCAGCCCTAGGAAGAAGGCAATGGCAAACTACTTCTGAAAAATTTGCCAAGAAAACTGCAGGGACTAGTCCAGGCAGTCAACAGGAGTCAACATTGGCTTCAAGACACATACCTAGAGATACATATAAACAGATACCCAGCATAATTTAGAAGATTGAAAGAAAATTCAATAATATTTTAATAGTCTAGGGAAATAGGGTAATAACAACCAAATGGAATTAACAGAGATCTTTACCCAGGAAAGAGAAATAATGGATTGGGCAAAACTTGATTTCATAAAATTGTGAAAAAGATGTTGGAATTGTACTTTATCATAAGCTAAATAGGAGTCAGCAACATAAGATGGCTGTAAAAGTCAACTGCAATTTTAGACTGCATCAACAGGCAAACAATTTCCACATCATGAAGAAATCTACCCTATTCTTCATTGGTTGAACTCCACTTTCAATAGTTTATGTAGGGCTGGCCACTATACTTTAAGAGAGATTCAGACAACCTGAGGCAAAGAAGGACAATAAAAAGGGGTCAGGACTGGAAACTAACCCTTCAGGAAGAGAAATGTTTAAAAGGCAGAGAAATGTTTAACACATTTAGTGATCCACAAAAAAATTCTCCCACTCACTGCAAGCAGATTGTATAAAAAAGGAGAAAATGACAAATGTGTAATGCATAATGTAACCTTAACAATAAGTCACTGTACCTTGGCATTGGTATCCTTGCTTTCCAAATACTCCCCTGTTGAAGATAAAGCAGAAGCAACATATGACTCAGGATGAGATCAAACACTTCAAAAGTAGGTCAGGTAATCTGACACAAGAACAAAACAAAGGTTAAGGTGCAGCTGCAAAGTTCAAATGTATATCGTATCAACAATATGGGGAGAGGTAAACTCAGCTTAAACCCTAAGAAGACAAAACTATTGTTCATCCAGAAACATTTAGGCACTCTAGAAACTTTAGTACTAGTGGTGGAATCTTCCTCCTCTTAACACAGCAGGTGTGTCACTGGGGCTTGCCTAGGATTTATAGTTACTGTTGGAAGAACAGGTGGAAGTTGTGGTTCAGGGATACTTTGGCCAGATTTAACTGATGTGCCAAATATGTTTCCACCTGGAGCTGCAAGCCTTTTACCACCCTATCTTGACTACTGCAATGCACTAGGTGAGACTGCCTTTAAAAATAACGTAGAAGCTACAGCTCACACAGAATGCAGTAGCCAAATTGCTGGTGGGTGGAATCTGCTATTTCAGGATAGAATTTATTTTGCAATGCTGCACCCAGTTTAAAGTGTTAGGTATCATTTATGAAGCCCAATATGGCACAACACTGGGTTTCATCAAGAACTGCCTTGCCCAAAATGCCTTCCTGTTTTGAACAGTGAGAGAGGCTTGCTCAAGATCCCTTCATTATGAGAGCTGAAAGGGATGTGAACTAGAAGGAATCTCTGTAAGTTGCCCCCATAAGGTAGAACATGCTCCTTCATTCTTGCCATTCCAAAAATTTCTAAAGGACATTTGAACTGATGGACACAACACAACCATTTCCTTTAGTTAAGTAAGACCAATTAGAGGTGATGAGTTTTCATTTATGGGTTGTTTATTTTGCTTTCATTGTTAAATGCCCAGAGTCAATTGATTAGGGTACTATAAACATTTTGTAAATAAATTTAAGAATACATAAAATCCAAGTTTAGATGATGAATCTTACTTCCAATATTGATAAAACTCAGAATGAATTCTGACTAAAATTTATAATCAAAACTTTAAGAAATAAATTTAAACATATACAAAATTCAGTGCAACCTCTTAGTAGGAAGTAAACACCACAAATCTCAGTGAGATTAATCTCAGGAACATGTGGAACATATGTATCGTCATGATTTATCAATCCCATCCTTTCCACAAGAACTGAGATAGAAATCTTGTTAGGTTTGATATAGCTTACTTAGAAATAGATGCGCTTTGGCTTATAGCCACAATGTTGTTTTATTTTAAGGATCAAACTTTATGAACACTAAGCAGTTTACATTATTAACATTTTAAGGATCAAACTCTATGAACACATTTATATAAGTTGTAATAAATGTCCCTACACTCTACTGGCTGACTGGCACCCAAAATGTTTCAACCCACTCCAACAAACAATTTTGCAATTCAATTTTATTTTTTCAGCTAATGAATAATGGAAATATAATTAGGAAAACATGCACTCATTGTTTTGTGTTAAAAAAGTGAGAGCATTTCACAGAACTGTCCTGAGTAGAACAATTTAGGATATTGCAAATATCATCCAATAAGCAGTGTACATTATTAACATTTGATGCAAATAAACATTTTGTTGGCATATGCATTGGAAGCATCTTGGGAACATACAGTAACATGGTAGAGGGCTTTAATGACTCTTCTCCTCTTTTGCCAATCAGGTCTAACCAACTGAATAGATAAAAGAGCTTCCATGAAATTCAATGGAAGCTTTTTCACCAATGCAAACAGAGAGGCAAGGGCTCAATCTAGGATTGCGATTGCCATGGAGAAAAGAGAGAGTGGGGTTAAAATCCCAAATCTCCATGCCTGAGTCCTAATTCTAGACAGTTAATAGTTGTGAAATTAGTGGTTTGACTAGTTTGCTCCAACCAACATTATTTTATACATATTACATAATATATAATTAATAATCAATGGTTGTAATAAAACCAGATGATGTGAATTTAACAGAATAACAAAGTTGGAAGGGAAGTGGAGGTCTTCCAGTCCACCCCTTGCTCAAGCGGGAGTCTCTATAACATTTCAGACAAATGGCTGTCCAGTCTCTTCTTAAAAACCTCCAGTGATGGAGCACCCACAACTTCTAAAGGCAGGCTGTTCCACTGCATCAACCATCTTAATCATAATAATTTGCATGTTTTAAAATGAAAGCTAAAACTAGTGTTGAAGATCACATTCTTCAGATCACATTCGACAGTATCTACATTGATTCCACTATCTTCACCTGTACAGGAAAATACCTCCAACTCTTCCCCTGCAGATTTGATAGCGTGCATAGCTTTTATTAAAGCTGCTTTCAGGGAAAGTATCAGAGCTTAAGTCAGTGACTGCTCCTGATGTAACCTGTCTTTTTGATCTGAAGCATAATTGTTTCAGGTAACCTGCTCTTGCCTTGTTTAGGGATTAGTCTGCTGGCACTGAATTCAGCAGGTGGCAGCATCTGGCTTTAAATACCTAGCTCAGAAATTAAGCAGGGTCAGGCCTGGCTAGTACCTGGAGGGGAGAATTCCAGAGAATGCCAGGGCTGTAAAACTAAGCTGGGGTTAAACACACATCCTGGAAGGAGGCAAACTCCTTCTGAACTCTGGCCAGGAAACCACATGGATGCATTTATTAAATCACAAGGAGTTGAGCTCAACCTGAAGTGAACTTTTTACTTAGCAAAAGGGGAGGGAATTATGGAAGCAACTTTCTGGGTGAAAACTCCTATACAAGCCAGTTTTCATTTCAAGCATACCAGATAAATTCCCGACAGTGTGAGCAGTACGTTGGTTGCCGCAAATAAGTTGCCATAAACTTGTGTCCGTTGACTTGATGAACTCTCCTGCGCATGGCCCGTTGGCGTTTCCGTGTGAAGTTTTTAAAGATCCTGTCCCTCTGGAGTGTTCCTGGGCACCCAAACAGAGTGGTTAAACAACTGAATAAATTGCTGCCTATCATTCAAATGTTATGACTTCTCTATTGCTGTTTTCCTTTAATTTTCCACCCACGTTTATCCCAAAACAATTTATCTTTAGCTTTCCCCATTACTTTGCAATATCCTGTTTCTTTTAGTTATCACTTCATTTTCCAAGTTAATCTGTTAGCAAACCTTAAAGCAGGGCTCCTACCAGACTGCGTGGGCTTCTTCTAGTCAATCTTATTTTTAGTATTCTTTTCCTTTGGTTTCCATCTCCTGTTTGAAGTCTCAGTTTCTCTTTCATACATCAAAATGCAGAGCTTGATTTAAATGTAGGCATATGAACCAGTTTTACTCTTTTGGTGCTAAAATGCCTTAGATCACAATTGACAAAGTCATATCCTTTAAGTCTCATCAGGGTCTCCTTAATTCAGGAAGTAGCAATTGCAATCTTTATTCCATATGAAGTATTTTGAATATTCAAATATTTCCCAAAAATGCAAAACATTTCATAGTACATTATATTTATTAAGGCTTCCCTTGATTTATTTTTTAAAAAAACCTTGAATTTATGTTAATGTTGTTATTGATTAAATAAACTCAACCACAGTTCCTGGAATAACATTTTAAAAAAAAGTATTCCTGAACTGAATGATTAGTCTTTTTTCCCTTTAAAAAAATCTCAGCATTAATTTCTTCCAGTTCTTCAAACCAGCTATTTTAACATCCACATGGTGCATATTTCCTACTTTTACAAGTCACATGGTTGATATGCTGGATATGGCTTCAAGGTTTCGGTCCAGTGAATTAATTTGTAAACCAGTTTTCTTTAGAAGGAAAGATAAATGTTATCTCTCTCTCCAAATCACATACAACACCACAAAAGAGACAACCATAGGAACAGTGAGGTGGTGATAAACTTAAACTGGCATTGGGTGCCCCAGAACCTTTCCAAGACATTGAGTTGTTTGGGGGCATATCGTTCACTTGAACCCTTACCACCTCCATCCACTTTGACCTTGATACATCCTAACTTGATATATTTTTTGCTCCATTGTCTTTGTCCATTGAAAATAACAGCCTCAAATACTGAAACAATCTGCCACTATATTTTATCTGATTCATTTTGCTACCTTGAATGAAAAGTCTGGATTCATCTCTTCATTCCAAATTCTAAACTACACATCATGTAGCCCACCACCTTGTGGAAGGTCCAGGGCCACTGCCCCGATTGAAAAAGACTCTGATATGTCTCTATTATATTTTGTAAGATCAAGACTGGGACTATGAACAGGCATAATTTTCAACAAGAGCAGAATCGCTGCAGACCATGCATGGTGAAGGACATGAATAACAGCCACTGGTCTTATTGACTGTAATGTCCTGTAAAGGAATTTGGAGTTGACTTTTTGGGAGGGAACAAGAAACCTGTGGGGGGGGGGAGTGAATCATTATGAATGGCTTGGTGAAGAAATTACACAGTTCAGTGAAGGATGTATGAAAGAGCAACTCAGAATAGTCCCACTTTCATTTTCTTTGGTATAAAATAGAACAGTGAGAAATTTAGAACAGGCTTTCAAAATTCTGCTCATTTGACCTACAACAATGAAGCAGCAATCCCTGCTTCTTGATCTGGCTTATCTGGAAGGACTGACATGAGATTTGATATACGTGGTTAGGGAAGCTGCAAGAACTTGTACACCTCCAATTCTGTATTTACACCCTAAATTAGCCAAGCAAGATCCCTGTTGAGGCCAAGCCATCCAGACTCAGGAACAAGGACAGGTTTTGCTTACTGCTGATGTCTCTAGGTTCAGCCTTCAGTTTTCCACACTGAAGTGCTTGCTATGCATTTATTGTTTCATAGGTGAATTTATAGAGCAAGCAGAAATAATTAAGCTACTGGTTAAAGCATGGTCATTTAGATCCAACTTGATTCTACAGTGGTTACCATCCTACTTTTAAAGTGTTAATTCTTTATTTGAAAAGCTAACAGGTACAAAAGCTAACAGGTAACAAGTGTTGCCCATCTACAGAAGGAAACTGAAGATGACAACTCTGGCTTGCAGTCTTTCCTCTACTAGGGCAAGATGTCTGCATTTCTGTTTCATAATAATAATGATTTCTCTTTGGGTACCCATATATAAAATTTGTATAGGAAAATTTCATGCAAACTATATTCCCCTTTTTCTTCTTTTCAGCAACGTGGAAGTGGCCATTCTATTCTGTTCTCTTCATAATCTGGTTTTCCGTGTAAAGAATTTCCCATTTTCATAAGTGAGTAAACTAGAGACTTTTGTTCCTCCCATATCCATGGCAGGTCAAAGGACAGCAGGAATAAATCATGTCTGGCATTCAACATTTCATTACAATACTCCTAACTTTGCAAAATGTACAAGGTGACCAGGACACCAGTTTGTTTTTCTTTGGTTTAACAGCACTTTCTGTCTCTCCCCCACCCCACCCCCAAAGCAACACAGCTCTTTCTGCAGAAGCTGCTTCTCCTTTGCAGCACCTTCCCGGAATAACCACACAACCACCCGTTTTTGCTTCTAAATAAAAGACCAAGAGGCCTGGCCACTTTATGCATTTTCAAATGTGGGTTTGAACTCTTCTCCTCCTGTGTTATTTCTACACATTTTTAGTAATTTTATCCTTTCGACATAATAAACATTGCAATTAGCAGCATTTGTTTACAGAGAGCATATGGACCTGCAGTTTGTGCATCCCTCCTTTGTAACTTGATTCATTCCAGGTTTCAAGTTCATCCCAGGCTTAGATTGACAACCAGCTTCTGTTCCCAGATCAGCTGCCTGATACCAAAACCTTGCTGAAGGTTGAGATGACTCAGCAGCTTTCAGCCCTCAATCTCTTTATACACACTTCGATCCTCATAGAATTGAATTGAATGGGATACACAAAGCTTTGTTTTCAACCAGCAACTCAACAGCTTTCTTCAACAAACACAGTGAAAAGTTGGGCTTATACTGAATTGAAAACAGGACTGCCTACTCCTGTGCCTTTAGAAAACTGCTGCTCCCCTCCTGAGTCATAACTTTCTTCTCCTGCAACATCCTGGATTCTCCCCAAGGAATCCAGTGCCAAAGAAAGCCCATCCCAGGCTGGCACAGTTGCATACTGTAGTGAGATTTCGATATGGAAATAAGATTGTAATACAAGTTTCTCTAGTTACACATTGTTTACTGTATATCTTCTTCCTCTCCTGTGCTCTCCCACACACAGAAGAATGGAAGTAGAAATGCTTTTCTCCAATTTGGATTCCTATGGAAAATTCACGGTTTGGGCAAAACCTTTTAATTCAATCCCATCTTTAAATTATAGCAGTTTTTTTTTCTTTATAGAAACACTACCTCTAGATTTTTTTTTTAATAATGACACTCAGCCTGTCCACAAGCACATCATCCTGCCCACTTCCTTTCTTTTGTAAAAGTTTGTCCCTTCCTGCTCAGGATCTGCTGTAGAAAAATGGGGGGGGGGGAATAAAAATTATTTGGAGCTCTCCTTTTAATAATTCTTTCCATAAGAAATGGAGATGTAGAGCAATGTATACTGAGTGTGTCTGTACATACATAAATCTCCAAGTTGGAAGAAAGTGAACTGCAGGATATTGCAAGGCAGAGATTGAGGCTTGCACAGAATATCATGAGTGTGCTTGAGAAAATCTGGGCTTTAAGGTAAGACTGGTAGCTTAATCTATAGCTTCTCTATCTATAGAGTAAGAAAGGAAATAGATACAAATGGTAGGAGTAAGTAAATAAATGAAATGCCTCATGAGAAAGCCTCCCTTCATCAAAGCTATGATTGGTGAGGGAAATCAATCAATGACCTTTCTAGTGATGGCATATGGAAGAGTGAATTAACAAATGAAAGGAAGAAATCTCATAAGATATCTCATGTATCTGTGAAATTAAGAGAAAAGGAAAGGAGAAGTCTAAAAGAAGGTAGCCTGAACTTTTTGGAGTGGCACTGATGAATTACCCGCAAGGAAGTAAGATGTATGGCAAAGAGTACTAACTGACATCATCAAGAATATTATAGGCCTGCAAAAAAGCAGGTCCACACTAATTATTGATTATACCACATCTGTGGTAGAACAATCCATAACAGTTCAAAAAATCACTATAACTGAAACTCCCATCAAAGTTCATCCAACCCCTGTTGCAAGATGACCTTCAATCACCAAAGATCTTCCAGAAGAAGGATGTCTTTCCTGCTTTCTAGATGGCCTGTACCAAGGGGGTTAGTGAAGGAGACACATTGGAAACTAGAGAGTTTCCCTATGGAGAAATGTCAAATATATCACTAACTAATTGCAATTTCACATTAACCATGAGAAATGCAATACAATGTGTTTATTAAGTTCTGGAGAAGGTAGAAGAAAGCAGCACTGAAGAGGGTATAAGGCAGTAGGGCAAGCTTATTTTGGCAGTAAAAAAATATTGCTATGGTTTCAGCCTAGGGTGCAATAAAGATTCTAAATTAACTATATCTTGGGTTTGTCTGGGAAGTTTCAAAAAGCCCAACTAAGAGGGAAATGGACAGCTACATATGTGAGCAACCAAGTCCCTAGTTCAGATCTTCCTATGAATTACAAATCTGCTTAGAGGTCTTAACCAGCCACTGTTTCTCAGCTATCCTATTGTGAAGATAAGCCTCGGTGTTCTGAACCCACCTTAAGGATTTCTGAAGATGTCCAGTGCAAGTTTTCCTCCATTCCAACAAAGTATGCATAATTTGGCAACTATGACATTCTTCTGTTTATTCAACTTTTACATCTGTTGCAATTGGAGCTTAATGACATACTATGGTGTGTGGAAGTATTAGTAATAACAATTATTAGAAAGAAAAGATGCAGTATTCCTCTTACCTTCAGTGAAGCTGCCTGAGAGGGTTATTGCTATAAATATTTTCCCTTCAGGTTCCAGGTCCACCTGCAAGAGAAGAGAAGAGAGAGAGAGAAATTGTCAAATGTGCTTTGGAAACAAAAAAAGCCGTATTAGGTGTATCCCCATTAGTAACAATTTGACAATGACCTGGAAGATAAGACCAAGTGTGGATGCTAAGAATTAAAGTTGGATCTGTGTTCAGGATTTCACCACAAAAAGTAGAGGCATTTGTCCAATGAGGCAGGTTCATCCAAACAATGAAACAAATGTGATGTTGCAATATAAGCACCTCCCTTATCTAAATACATATCACAATGCATGTACAAAAGTGATAGAGACTACCTCACAACATTGTGATCATTTCAATATTTGATACCCAAACCCTATGGATACCCATTCAGAAAAGATCTACATTAACTGTAATCCCATATAGCTACTATTACTGTGGAAAGCATTTGAATTTACCCATGCACAAGCAAAGCACTCCTTCTTGGAAAAACTGTCCCTACTTGTCTGCATGGGCATCCATAATTATTTTGTTTAGTTGGTGATTTCAGTAAAAGGGCTGTCTTTGTAGTGACAAAAACATTATACGTAGAAACTTGAAGTGAGTTTTAATACACCAGATGAGGGTTCACTTACATGAGCATTCGTGAAGCATCTCTTTTGAATGGATGGCAAAGTCTTAAGCCCTCATACCTGGATCTAAAAAAAATTCTGTATTTGATTGGTAGGGACTGTAAGCTATGAAAACCCCTGGAGATTAGCCAATAAATATACTGTACATACCACAGTAAATATAAATAATATATAAATTAATCAATAACCATTCCCCCAAACAAGCAAACAAAAAATAAACACTAAACCCAGATGTCAATCAATCTACAACTGAGCATGTTTGCATTAGAAGTTAGAACATCTTGATTGCCAAACTTCAAATTCACACACAATATTTCAAAGAAAAGAACAGTGCACTGTTTAAGTCCATAAAAATTTACATCTTCAGTCAAGATGTATCTACTCCTCAAGAGGTTGAGATCCTAAAGCAATCTCTACAGCAAACATATTTTGGATTACAACTTTCATTTATTTATTAGTCTCCGTATGAACGACCTATGGTACAAGGGATGTGGTACTATGGATGTGGTACAAGATTCGGTAGAAAGATGTGTCCTACGAAGGGTTTACGTAACTGTAATGTTAACAGTAACGGAGATACTCGTATATCTGGAGATATATACCTAACACTCTTAACATAAGAGTCATAGATCCCCTTATAATACGGGAGGAATACATACTCTAGAGTATGTAAAAACTAATGCATTTTCTAATGCATTCCTAGCATTTAGACTCTAAAAAACAAGAGTTGGGTATGTCTAGTTTAACGAAGAGAAGGACGAGGGAGGACATGATAGCAGTGTTCCAATATCTCAGGGGCTGCCACAAAGAAGAGGGAGTCAAGCTATTTTCCAAAGCGCCTGAAGGCAGGACGAGAAGCAACAGGTGGAAACTGATCAAGGAGAGAAGCAACTTAGAACTAAGGAGAAACTTCCTGACAGTTAGAACAATTGACCAGTGGAACAACCTGCCTCCAGAAGCGGTGAATGCTCCAACACTGGAAGTTTTTAAGAAGAGACTGGACAGCCATTTGTCTGAAATGGTGTAGGGTTCCTGCCTGAGCAGGGGGTTGGACTCAATGACCTCCAAGGTCCCTTCCAACTTTATTTTTATTATTATTATTATTATTATTATTATTATTATTATTATTATTATTATTATTATTATTATTATTATTATTATTATATAAGCATATTCAGATAATTCTAGCTTGAATAAAGGCTTCCAATAGGAAGCCACACCCACTCATCTTAAATCTTCTCATTCCCACCTGCCCCTGCTCCCCAATCATTACAAATCCAAAAGTGGCAAAATAAAATGGTAGTAGGAATGTACTGATAGAGAATGGTTGTAAAATCAGATCCGGTCACACAATGACTTATGATGAAAATTCCGGCCTCCATTGTGATCCCAAGTCAAAGACTACCTGGACTGTGTCAGAATCCTTGTACTTATAAAATATCAAAAACAGTTTGATACGTGTGTGTGTGTGTGTGTGTGTGTGTGTGTGAGGTGACAAAACGTCAAATCTATTTTTCTGTTGGGTTTCACTAATATAAAGATAATTTCTTTTAGTCGGGAACAAAAGGTGATTTTCTAGTACAAAAATTGTTGAGAAATAAGTTTCTAACGTCTTAACCCTCAAAACAAATAGTAAGGTAAATATCGTTAAGGTTTTTACAGACGACTTCAAGTTCAGTGGGGTAGTGATGCCTTCTATAAAAAGCTTCCTCTTATTCTTCTTGATAAAAAAAATGTTGACAGCTAAATGTAAATATAAATCTAACACACCACGTGTAACATTGGCAACAATTAAAACAGTCTGAAAATAGGGTTCTCTGGTTAGGTGACTCAGTGATTTCCAACAGCCATTCCTCGTGGCTGAACTTGCAACCATATCCAAAATAAGCATTCTGATAAACCATTGTAAAAGGGGAAGGAACAGTCAACACAATTTGCTAACTCAGTTTAGTATGGAGAGAAATGCACAGTAGAACCACTTATGAATCCTCGAGTTTCAAAGTATGGTTTGATGTCAGACTTATGGAAACAATTACTACCACCAGCACCCAGATAACAGATGAGTAAAATGATGAGCTCTAAATATGCAACCAGAACAGTGAAAAGCTTGACTACAAAATAATCCCTGTAAAATTCAGTGGTATTTAAATTACTAAGTAAATTCCTGTTTTAAGCCCTATAAAACTTCAAGATAAACCACTACAGAAACTTTTTTCTCAGATGAACGCATTTTTTCTCCTTTCTCATAGAAAGCAATGAGGCAATGTCTCTGATGTTACAAACCATGCCAGAAATGATGGAATGGGGATTTCCAGTGAGAGTTCATGGTGACCTAGACTTCTCTGAAGGAGTAAAGATGACATTGCGACAAGACTCACAGCTAGACAGAGATTTCTGGTTGGCCAAGGTAAAGGAGAGATCCCAACAGCTGCTTCTTGTGAGTAAATTGCAGGAATGGAGGTGCTTTGGAATCAAGGAATCCCCACCAAGTTCCCAGCTTCGGTGTAGCCTTATGGACACAAAGTTCTGCCAAGCTTCATTTCTTAATCAGTTTTGGATATTGCTTCTTAACTGCTTTTCAACTATTAAAAACCTTTCAGACAATGTGCACCAGGAGCTTCCTTTAATCCTTAGAAAAAGAAATTTTAAAGATCAGTAAGAATATTTTTAAAACATTTTTTTAGAATAAACAGTAAATAGCGTTGATTTTGGAAAGTTATAAATAAACTAAGGGTCCTGATGGATTTGAAATAAGGTTTTGATTAATAACAATCCTTCCCATGGGAAAATGCTCTTGTTTTGGAATACTTAAAAGAAAACATGATAGGATGAGAATTTGAATGTTGGACACTAGAAGGAATCAGAAAACACTGAAAGTTCCAATTAAAGGAGAAGTATGGATATATTTGATTTACTAACACAGAATGGAGCAAAATACTTTAACATACTGTAGCATGTTTGTGAAATTAACCTTAAAAGTGTCTACCATTATAAATGGACTGATTTTAAAAGATGTTTTGGAAGAGGAACAAGTTTTACCAGATAAGAATGAGTCTGATATGAAAATGGATTAAAAAACTGACAAGCTACAAGAATGGTATGGAAAAAGATGTTAAACTGGATATATAAATGAAAGCAGTTGATGTCATAATTAAAAAGAATGTACAAATGTCAAACCAAAAAAAGCAACTTGGATAACTTCCTAATATTGGATTTCCAAAAGACTTCTGTTAAAGTTCTAGAAAATTTAATGAGAAGGGACAAAACAGAAATTTAAAAAACAAGCTCTAAAATATTATTTGAAGTGATTAAAGATCTAGATTATTAAAAATAAAAGGAAGACATAAAAAGTGGTTTTATTTTATCAAGATTTAAAAAAAAGATGTTATCTCTGGTAACCCTTAATGGACTTTTGCTGATCAGAACTGAATGACAAGGTTTTAAGGATCTGTTTTGATTCAAGATCACATGAAGTTTTAATACCACTTTATAATGCCTTGGTAAAACCACACTTGGAATATTGCATCCAGTTTTGATCACCACAATATAAAAAAGATGTTGAGTGCAGAGCAACAAAGATGATTAAGGGACTGGAGGCTAAAACACATGAAGAACAGTTGCAGGAATTGGGTATGTCTCGTTTAATGAAAAGAAGGAGCAAGGGTGATCTGATAGTTGTCTTCCAATATCTAAGGGGCTGCCACAAAAAAGAGGGGGTCAAGCACAGGCAGGACAAGAAGCAATGGATGGAAACTAATCAAGCACAGAACCAAGCTAGAACTAAGGAGAAATTTCCTGATCAAACAATTAATCAATGGAATGAGTTGCCTTCAGAAATTGTGGGTGTTCCAACACTGGAGGTTTTTAAGAAGAGATTGAACAACTATTTGTATGAAATGGTACAAAGATTCCTGCTTAAGCAGAGGGTCGGAAGAGAAGAATATATATCCTTTTTCTTTGCTATATGCTTACTTTTATATTTTTCTTTCTATATCTCTTTTTTCACACTTTCTTATTTTCTTTTTATTCCTTTATTTTTTGTAGTTTCTATTAGTCTTTAATGATTTGTCTTAATGCTTAATAAAATTATTATTAAAAATAAATGAGAGGGAAGGGATAAAACAGAGCCCACGGTCAAACAATAAGTACTGTTTGAAGGGACAAAAATATACCACAGAAGGTTTACACTTTGTGTATTCCTATTCCTCTCTTTTTTAATGCAGCAAGTTTAGAATTTATCAACTTTATTAAAGTGAGCTGCTGTCATAACCTACCGTTTCAAATTTATTTCAAACGAACAAGATTAGCCACAGATTGTTTGGAATCTGATGGCCAGAAACTATAATCTAAAGAAGAAAGAGCAGCTTCTGAAGCCTTCCAGTAATAGAAGAGACAAATGAGCAAGC